GCCCCATGCTAAAACTAAATATTCAAGGACATGAATTTAATGGGCTACTGGACACAGGTGCAGACCTAGGCATCATCTCTCATCAAGAATGGCCGAAACATTGGCCATTACAACAGGCCACTCAAACGCTTCGAGGCCTAGGAGTGGCAACTAATCCCCATAGAAGTGCAATGGTATTAGATTGGAAGGATCCCAAAGGATGTGAAGGAACTACACAGCCATATGTATTGGATCATCTTCCTATAAATTTATGGGGACAAGATGTCCTAGATCAATTAGGTTTGACATTAACAAATGACATCAATCCAAATGCGCCCACTATTAGGGCTAGACAAGGTTTTAGGAAAAAAAAAGATTAGGAGAACAAGAACAAGGTATAGCAGCGCCAATTCAAACAGATCAAGGAATAAATAGATATGGATTGGGTTTTCAGAAGGGGTCACTGAGACAATAAAAATTACTTGGAAATCAGAAAGCCCAGTATGGGTTCCTCAGTGGCCCCTGACTAAAGAAAAGATACAAGCAGCCCATGACCTGGTCAAACAACAATTAGCAGAGGGACATATACAACCTTCCATATCTCCCCATAATACTCCCATTTTTGTCATTAAAAAGAAATCTGGTAAATGGAGATTATTGAAAGATTTAAGAGCCATTAATAATGAGATGGTTATTATGGAACCTGCTCAATCAGGGATTCCTCAATTGTCTGCTTTGCCAAAAACCTGGTATGTTTTAGCTATAGATATTAAAGATTGTTTTTTTTTTCAATTCCAATTCATCCTGAGGATAGTCCACGTTTTGCATTTACTATCCCTGCACTGAATCATGAAGGTGCCGATCGAGATATGAATGGAAAGTACTCCCTCAAGGGATGGCTAACAGCCCAACTATGTGTCAAATTTATGTTAACAAAGCAATCCAGCCACTTAGAAATCAAAATCCTGAACTACAAATATTTCACTAAATGGATGTTGTATTATTAGCATATAAAGATATAAACACATTGCTAGAAAGTTATGTCACACTTACAAATTTATTAAAAAATTATAATCTAGAGATAGCAATAGATAAAGTACAATTAAATTTCCCAATTAATTATTTAGGAGTTCTATTATCCTCAACCATAGTCTGTCCACCAAAAATTCAAATATGAGTAGATCAACTCAAATCACTTAACGACTTTCAAAAGTTATTAGGAGACATAAATTGGATAAGGCCTTATCTAGGCATACCAACAGGAGAGTTGGGACCTTTATTTGATATCCTCAAAGGTCCATCAGATCCAAATTCACCCCGAATGTTAACGCCTGAAGCAAGAAAGGCATTAAAAAGTCATTGAAACATATATGGAAAATATGCATTTGGATAGAATTGATATAAGTTTGCCTTTATTATTTATTGTACTACCAACAAAAAATATTCCTACAGGAGTATTTTGGCAAGAAGGTCCATTATTATGGATACATTTATCTTATTCTCCTAACACTATTCTTACTAGGTATCCTGAGGCTGCAGGACAATTGATACTCAAAGGAATAAAAGCAGCAAAGGGAGTGTTTGGGATTTCTCCCAATAAAATTATGACTCCATATAGTATGGATCAAATTGATGAGTTAGCTAATGAGTTAAATACTTGGGCAATAATCATGTGCAAATCTAATGTTTCATTTGATAACCACTTACCATCTAACCCTTTGTTGTCTTTTTGGTCTTCGCATCCTCTAGTTTTTCCAATGACAAGAAAAACACCTATCATGAATGCTCCAAATATATTCACTGATGGGTCAAATAATGGTACAGCAGCAGTAGTTACCCCTGATCAAACTTTTACATTTTTAGTACCCAAACAATCAGCTCAAAAGGTAGAGCTTAATGCAGTATTACAAGCTTTTGTGATGTTTAAAGATTCTGTATTTAATTTATTTTCTGATAGTCAGTATGTAGTTAATGCTATAGTATCCCTTGAAGATGCTGGTAGGATTTCCCCTTCCTCTACTGTTTTCTCTTTGCTTTCCACTATACAAAGTCTAATCTGGGACTGAAAAGATCCATTCTTTATAGGACATATCAGGGCACATACAGGATTGCCTGGAGCCCTTAGTTTGGGCAATGAGTTAGCAGATAAAACTACACATGACATACATATTTTCTCCACAATAGAAGAAGCTACAAATTTTTATAAAAGGTTCCATGTCAATGCTAATACTTTACAAAAGCATTTTAAAATAACCAAGGAACAAGCTAGACAAATAATAAAACAATGTCAAAATTGTGTGACCTTTTTACCACAAGTTAATCTTGGAGTCAATCCGAGAGGACTGATTCCTAACCATATTTGGCAGATGGATCACACACTTGCCAGAATTTTGAAAATTAAAATATTTGCATGTTACAGTTGATACTTCTTCTGGATTTTTGATGGGCTCCCTTCATGCTGGAGAAAAAAACTAAAGATATTATAGCTCATTGCTTACAAAATTTTGCCACTGTGGGCGTTCCTAAACAGTTAAAAACAGATAATGGTCCTGGTTATACTTCTACCTGTTTTAAACAATTTTGCTCATCATTTGGCATTACTCACATAACAGGAATCCCACACAATACACAGGGACAAGGCATAGTTGAAAGAGCTCATCAAACTATTAAAATGTACTTATTAAAGCAAAAAGAGGGAATTGGGAAGGGGTATACATCCCCCAAAGATAAACTTAAAATAACCCTTTTTACTCTAAACTTTTTGAATTTGGATTCATCAGGGCTTAGTGCTGCGGAAAGGCATATGTGTCCCAAAAATGTACATAAGCCCAAGGTACTTTGGAAGGATATTCTAACAGGACAATGGAAAGGTCCTGACCCAGTGATTGTCTGGAATCGGGGGTCTGTTTGTGTGTTTCCACAGGGAGAACAGCAGCCGATTTGGATTCCAGAGAGACTAACTAAAGAGATTTCTACAGACCAAAAAGAAGATGATTTGACTCTCAGCAGGAAGGTACTCCACAGCAACCAGGTTCTAGAAATTCTCCTCCATTACATCTTGGTACAGCTTCCTCTGAGTAAGGTCCGGCAGCCCCAGCTCCTGTGTGGTGAGGACCCTAGCCACATCGTTGAATGTCACTGCTCCTGAAGACTGGTCATTTGTTCCTGCTCCTTCCAGGGAAGGCCAGATTCCTGAACAGGCATGTCTCTTACAGCAGCTCCATGTCCTAAATGGACAGATGGAAAATCCTGTGAACCAGGAGTCCCTTTCTCTTGTAGACCGATCCACAGAGTCCACAGGAGAATGCCTGGACGTCAGGGAGAGATGGGATCAATAAACTTAAGGATGAGCCTTCATTTCAGCAGCAACACAGTCCCTCCCGCTGCCCTGGTTCAGGGGGGAGAAAAGGCTACTGTGAGACTAGCCATTTCTCCTCGCCGGCTTCCAGGTGAAACGCGCGCTGCAAACACCGAACCCTGTGGACAGCAAAGGTGACCAGGCGCCGCAGCGGACCTGAGCCTTGACCTGAGCCTCATCTAACAGGCTCCTCCGCAGGACCTGCCGGCTTACTGCCCTCCCAGAGCAGGAACAGCTCAGAGATGGCAACGGCGAGCTGTCTCACACAGAAGGCAGGAGCATCTTCGGAGGCAGACAGGGCTCAGGGGATCCACGCTTCTGCCCTCTGCCTCTCGGCCTCCACACCAGCCTCGACTTCTGCATGTTAAATCGCCGGACAGGTGGTCGTGAGACTCACATTCAGGCTGAAAAGGCTCTGCGGGTTGTTGTGGCTACAGGCAGGGTGGACTCACTTCCCGGACCAAAAGATGGTGACTGCCTTGCTTTCCTGGCAGAAGCAGCTGCTGTTTTCTTTATAAAGTATCTAGCCTCAGGTATTTCATCACAGTAACAGAAAACGGATGAATGCAAATAGCAACAAGAGTACACTTCCCAATGTTTGGACAGTCACATCCTGAGAAGAAAACGAGAATTTGCCTCTGAGATGATGAACTCGCAGGTGTGGGTGTTCTGTTTGAGCTTATGGGGATTTCTTGATATTTTTCTATGCTAAATATGTTATTCTTGCACTTCAGAAATGGCAAATAAGAGGTTAAACATGAGGTCACGAAGAGTCATGGTTATGCCCTAGGGATAGAACTGGAGTGTGCAGCAGCCCTGGAGCCAGTGGTATCCTATACAGTGAGAGGGTGAAGGTGGGGAGGTATGTGGGGACTGATGCAATGACAGTAAGCAATTTCTTTTGCAGGGAACTCTAAACCTCAAAGAAAGATCTGGGGGAAGGGTGTGGATAGGAACCTGCGTGGCCAGTCGGTAGAAGCTGCAAAGTCCACAGAACAAGCTGTCTTGAGTCTAAAAGTGCACCTGGCTCATTCTGCACCAGAATCTGAATTTCTTATGATTTTGGACAAAAGGAAACATTGGTCACTCCACTGGGTCTCTGCAGTGAAGCAAGGGAGATTTGGACATGGCAAGACATTCCCAAATCACCTCCTTCTGGGGGTCCCCCAGCCAGAGGAGCCGGGCACTGAAGCTGCACAGAAGGCAGTGGGTGAGTGGGTGTGTCACAGGTGGAGCAGTTTGTGTTGTTGTAAACACACAACTTCCCTAGGGAAAGTGTGAAAATAGACATAAGGAAGAGACTGTGTCTGCCATCAGGACCCCAGACAGGTACTTAAAGCCCTGGCTCAGGAGGCCCCACACCTCACTCCTCCCTCTCCACCTGCTGCTCTCACCTCCTCCAACCTCCACCTCCAGAACCATGACCTGCTGTGGCTGCTCCGGGGGCTGTGGCTCCAGCTGTGGGGGCTGTGGCTCCAGCTGTGGGGGCTGTGGCTCCAGCTGCTGCAAGCCCGTGTGCTGCTGTGTGCCAGCCTGTTCCTGCTCCAGCTGTGGCTCCTGTGGGGGCTGCAAGGGGGGCTGTGGCTCCTGTGGGGGCTGCAAGGGGGGCTGTGGCTCCTGTGGGGGCTGCAAGGGGGGCTGTGGCTCCTGTGGGGGCTGCAAGGGGGGCTGTGGCTCCTGTGGGGGCTGCAAGTCCAGCTGCTGTCAGTCCAGCTGCTGCAAGTCCAGCAGCTGCAAGCCCTGCTGCTGCCAGGACAGCTGCTGCCAGTCCAGCTGCTGCAAGCCCTGCTGCTGCCAGGACAGCTGCTGCAAGTCCAGCTGCTGCAAGCCCTGTTGCTTCCAGGACAGCTGCTGCAAGCCCTGCTGCTGCCAAGACAGCTGCTGCAAGTCCAGCTGCTACAAGCCCTGCTGCTGCCAGGACAGCTGCTGCAAGTCCAGCTGCTGCAAGCCCTGCTGCTGCCAAGACAGCTGCTGCAAGTCCAGCTGCTGCAAGCCCTGCTGCTGCCAGGACAGCTGCTGCAAGTCCAGCTGCTGCAAGCCCTGCTGCTGCCAGTCCAGCTGTTGTAAGCCCAGCTGCTGCAAGCCCTGCTGCTGCCAGGACAGCTGCTGCCAGTCTAGCTGCTGCAAGCCCTGCTGCTGCCAGTCCAGCTGCTGCAAGCCCTGCTGCTCCTCAGGCTGTGGGTCCTCCTGCTGCCAGTCCAGCTGCTGTGCCCCTATTTGCTGTCAGTGCAAGGTCTGAGGTTCTGGACACAGAACTCCAGTTGCCCCTGCGCACCCTCAGTCTCCAGACAGGGGCAGAAGCTGCACCCCAGGCCCCTGGGGCTCACCCCTGGCTCTTATCTTCCAGTTGTTGGAAGCTGCATCTGCAGACCAAGGAGGACCCAGGTCTCCAGGGAAGGACACCACTCACTCGTGGGGCTAGGTCCCTCTTCCAATGCCCAGGGAATCATGCCTCTCATCCCTCACCCACATTCTCCAGCCTCTGAGTCACTGCCCCTCATGGCCTCTGGCTTCATCTGGACATGCAGCACACAGTGGAGTCCCCACAGCCTGGGCACCCCCAAGCTGTGAGCACCTTGTCCACTGACAGTGGCCCAGCCCAGGCTGGCTCCTCTGGGCCCTCCCTCTCTGGCCAACTTCTCTGATTCCTCTGTGGAGGCGTGAACTGTACCCTTGATGTCCTGAAATAAAGTCTGTCACCCACTCTGTTTCCATGGTGTTCTTCCTTTCTTTAGCCCTTTCCGCTCGCCTGGATCCTCCTCCCAGCTCCTGCCCTGGGTCCCATCAGGGTGTAGTCTCAGGCCATTCAGGAGCTGGAAATGGACCCACACAGAGGAAGTTTTTTAAAAGTCACTGAGTCAAAATCGGTAGGGATGTCAAGGCAGCCGTGCTGTGGAGAGTTCCGGAAACGCAGGGTGCTGCTCCTCCATGAATCAAGCCAGAGCTCTGGACTCAGGAGAGCCTGGGGCATCTCCCTGCCCTGGGCCCCTTTCCAGGCTTGATGGGGGAGGCTGAGGCAAGTCGCCACCCTCCCTGTGCCAACCCTTGTGGCCTCCTGTGGCCACCAGCACTGTGAACTCAGATAAATGAAGATCCAGTGTGGTCACTGCTTCAGCTCCAGGCCCACCTGGCTTCTCCCCACTCACAGGAGGCCACCCGTCCTGGCTTTGTCTGCCAGGGCCCATGTACCCTTGGTCAGCCCAGGAAGCAGGACCAACACCTGGGAAGGAAGAGGAAGGAGTGTCACGTGATGTGATTCACCAGCCCGAGCGCTGGGGTCCAGACGCTCTTCCTCTCCCTGTGGTGCTGTGAGGGCACCCAGAACCTGGAGCCGGCTATCAAGCCCCATGCCAGAGCTGGCCTGGGCTCCTCCCCTCCTCCCCTGTCCTCTTCCCTCTCCTCTTCCTCTTCCTCCTGCTCCTCTTCCTCCTCCTCCTCCTTTTCTTCCTGCTCTCCTCCTCCTCCTCCTCCTCCTCCTCTCTTCCTCCTTCTCCTCCCTTTCTCTTCTTCCCCTTCTGTTCCTCCTCCTCCTCCTCCTCCTCCTCTCTTCCTCCTTCTCCTCCCTTTCTCTTCTTCCCCTCCTGTTCCTCCTCCTCCTCCTCCTCCTCTCTTCCTCCTTCTCCTCCCTTTCTCTTCTTCTCCTGTTCCTCTTCCTCCTCCTCCTCCTCCTCCTCCTCCTCTTCCTCCTCTTCTTCCTCCTACTCCTCCTTTACTTCCTCCTCTTCTTCCTCCTCTTCCTCTTCCTCCTCCTCTGCCTTCTCTTCCTCCCCCTCCTCCTTTTCTTCCTGCTCTTTTCTCCTCCTCCTCTTACTCTTCCTCCTCCTCTTCTTCCTCCTCTTCCTCTCCTCTTCCTCCTCCTCTTCCTCCTCCTCCTCTTCTTCCTCCTCCTCCTCCTGCTCTTCTTCTCCTCCTCCTCTTCTTCCTACTTCTCCTCCTTTTCTTCCTGCTCTTCTTCCTCCTCCTCTTCTTCCTCCTTCTCCTTCTCCTCTTCCTACTCCTCCTCCTCCTTTTTTCCTGCTCTTCTCCTCCTCTTCCTCCTCTTCATCCTCCTCTGCCGCAGTCTGGCTGGGCACACAATCACGAGCCACCACACAGCTTGTAGATTCAAACAGCAACTCTTTATTCCCGAACTCACACCAGCCGTCTACAAACACGTTCTGGGGAAATCCACGTTCTCTGCCCAAATCCACCTCCACTGGGCTTCTGTCTCCCAAAAAGTACTGTCTGAATCCCATGAGAACTCAAGGGGAACTCAGGCAGTAGGATACGCCATATTCCCAGCAGGAATAATCTTAAACCTTAAACCTGGAACCTAAACCGGGAATGCCCTAATCCGCCCTGGTCCTTGAGCAAGGTCACCTACTGTCGCGACCCCTCGCCAGCAAGGGAAAACACGACACAGGATTCTTCTTTCAGCAGTTTATTCAGGCCTTGTTTCATGTATCATCTTCTAGCGACCCCCCCCGCCGAGCGCCCAAGCACAGCCTAATAAAGCCTCCCGCATACCAATCCCAAGCTGCCACGTGGATCTCTCTCATAGGGTGGTAAGGGATTGCGTGCCAACTCTCCAAAAAAGGAGTTGTTTATCACAGGCCACAGTGGAAGCCGGCGCCATCTTCTAATGGCGGCCACGGTCTATAAGAATGGCTCACCACAGTTCCCCCTTCTATTTTATAAAACAATGCAGGCGAAAGTAGAGGTCCTATCCCACTGTGCAGAAGTGGCTGCAGTGTATGGTTCAGTCCTAAGGAGGTCCCTTCCCTAGACCTGGTCCCATATCAGCCGACGCCTTTTTTCGTAGGGCGGGGCGTGGACGTCAAACCCGCATGCAATAGGACATGCTTTCCTTGAGGTCCGTTGAGGGATCACTCAAGTGCAGTGCCTTGCCTCGCATCCTGTATCGTGACGATGGTGGACGAAGGGGGATAGCTGAGGCTGAACTGTGGCTGTTTATAATGACAAACAAGTTGACAGCACCCTGAAAGAAAGGCACGAACTTCAAGGCGATAGAAAAGTACTAGTGTGGAAACCCATCTGCGTGCAATGGTAACAAGACCTGCAGAGTGCAAGGGCTATTCAGCACTGGGAGAGAATAAGGAAGAGGACATGCCAATTCCAGTGCAATGTGAAACTAACTTGGGGTGCAATGGCCATGCCCAGAAATCACTGTTTAAGATGTGCAAGCCAGATTTGTGGAGAAATGCCATTTTCTAAGGCTACAAGAGCCTGTACAATCATAGCCTTCTCTTGCGCATGGCGAGTTTTAAGGCGACAGAGAAGCCACAAACAAAGCACAACACTGAAGCAACACATTGCCCCAAAAATGCCCACTCCCACCCATTCCTTAAATAAGGAAAAAGCAGAAGATATCCAATCGGTGAATTGACCCAAAGTCACGGAATCGACACGGGTACTGTTCAAGACAGCTATCTGGGTTAGTTGAGACTGGATCATGTTTTCTGCTTCCATGGACCAGGTTCCGGATAGATACTCTCCGATGATGCGGGAGGCATTTCTGGAATCATTAAATCTGACAGAGGTTATACATAAATGTGCACGTTGATCAACACAACCTAAATGTACTAGAACAGACAACTCCTCAACTTGAGCTTGAAGCAGATCTATCCTTTGATTAGCAGCCAAAATCCCAGATAAAATGTGTTGATTAATTTTACTTTGAGATTCAAGTATGGTGGATGTTTGTTGAATAACCTGATTAATAGTGGCAGCAGTTTGTACTTGGCTGGCCATGGCTACTCCAGCTGTAACTGCTGCAGCAGCAGACACCGCCACAGCTGTCACTATAGCTGCCGTAATTCCAAAATCTCTACGGGCTCTAATCAGTTCAACAATAGGAAAAGACTCTGGATCTGTAGTAACCGGAATCGGGACAAAGGTTGGAATTTTCATAACCACTGCCGTAGTCCAGGAGCCATTCCAACACTCAGACAAGTAACAGGTAATATTAGAACAATTAAGCATCCCCTGTAATGTAACATTAGCCAAAAGAAACAGGAACGGAGATTGGAGACAGACTGCTGCGGAGGGTAATGTAGCATTAAACAATTGTGAATTGTTTGCAGAAATTTTAAGCCTCCTACCTCGCTCCGAGTCTTGGGTACTGCCAGAAACATTAAACAGCCAACTTTGGACTCCTAATATTTCCCTGGGGAAACACAAGCGCGGACTAGACTAGCCCAATCTGAGGGAGTCATGCAAAATCTAGTAAGTCCCTCCACCTGAGTGAGAGTGAAAGCGGCATCTATGCCATAAGTGCGGACAGATTCTGCCAAGGTTTTAATTATCTTAAAGTCTAAAGGCTCATGATATCTTCCCCTGTTATTGTCCTGAAATACAGGGTATGCAAGTCCCATATCTGTCTTAACTGTCCTCCAAACTTGTGCATGAAAAGATCTCCCGGAACCTTGGCTCCCACCCACATACGGAGGTGGGGCAATCGGCACCATATCTTCTTCTAGATGTTCTACCTCCTCCTCCTCAGAGTTTTGTTGACCGATGTTAACTCCCTTCCCCTTCTTACAGTAGGCCTGCGTGCCCTGTGTCTCCTTTTTCTTCTTTTTCATTTTTATCTTATGTAGTTGTTGTAACAATATATCAAGGTCCTCAGAACTCTCTGAGTCGATTGTGTTCTCAGGCGTTTTTAATTCGGTCAAGTCTGGGTAGAGCCTTCTCCTATTTTTATCTTCAGGCTCTTTTGCCTTCTCACTACTGTTACTTTTAATACTCTCTGCCACTTCACTACATGATCCTTCAGATTTTTCCTCATGCAGTTGCTCAAGAATAGCTTGACCCTCACTCACAGCTACCTGGCATTTACCATCTGTTATACATCCTCTAACTAACTTCCAAAGTGGTATAACACCACCCTCTAAGGTGCCTTGCTCACGAGCGAAATCTAGATCTTTCCCTAATTTGTCCCAGCTAGGAATCGTAAGACTCCCTGAAAAAGCAAACCAAGGAGCCGCTATATCAGCTTCTCTTAAAAACATCTGCAAAGTACTCTGCTTTATCTTAAGTCCTTTTGAATGTAACAACCCATCTAGGGCCAACAAAATTGGGCTTGAAGAGGTAGCGCCCATAATGTTTTTAGAGCTATAAAGAAAGTGAAAGTACAAAAGTCCCCGCTCTCTTCCTTTTACAGGGGAGCGTTCCGTTCTATGAATTCCCCGCTCTCTTCCTTTTACAGGGGAGCGTCCCTTTTTCCCGCTGTCTCTCTATTTACAGAGAGAGCGCCCCGCTATTTGCTTGCGGATTCCCACTTTACCTGGGAACTTACCGGTGCACCACCCTGACTGCTGAAAGTTCTGGATCCTGGGTTCGAGGAATATAATTCCCCGTCCGGGCCACCAATTGTCGCGACCCCTCGCCAGCAAGGGAAAACACGACACAGGATTCTTCTTTCAGCAGTTTATTCAGGCCTTGTTTCATGTATCATCTTCTAGCGACCCCCCCCGCCGAGCGCCCAAGCACAGCCTAATAAAGCCTCCCGCATACCAATCCCAAGCTGCCACGTGGATCTCTCTCATAGGGTGGTAAGGGATTGCGTGCCAACTCTCCAAAAAAGGAGTTGTTTATCACAGGCCACAGTGGAAGCCGGCGCCATCTTCTAATGGCGGCCACGGTCTATAAGAATGGCTCACCACAACCTACATGCAATGTCACTGCAAAATGTCCTATTTCAA